CGAGCAGCAGTGTTTTATCAGATATAAAGATGGTCTGATAGTACACGCACTGCGAATGTTTTAAATTGCTTCTAGTATACGTTCATTGGCGATGTAGCTTTCAAAAAATTCGGTGTGTATATGTAGAGAAAATCATTAAAATTTATGTAAATCAAGGGAAATCTCTATCACATATCAAGGATACGACACGTTTATGAATTTTCTTTGTGTTTTCCTCATGAATTATTAATGAGTTTTTGAAGCTATTTTAGACAACAGTCAGTCACAACGTGCACAGAGCTTTTATCTTTTAAAAGACTCCTGAACCACGGTTGTTTAACGTATTCTGCCGTATAGCAAATATAACAGTTGAGCATGTTTTGAAATGTTATTCTTAAAATCATCATTCAACCTCATAGCTGCAATGCCAAGTTTAAAGTGAACAAATAACAAGACAACTATATTAAAGAAATATTCAGGATATATTTAAAATGTATAATTGAAAGATCAAACTTTTCCGTATTCCTAGGAAGAATCGCGATAACCGGCGTCTTCACCACGTAGCAAATTAATAATATACTTTCTCTGTTCAACTGAATTTCGAAGCCTAAATACTTGAAATATAAGAAAGTTTCCTCGAAAGCATTAACAGGCGGCATATTTTTGATACGCGACTATAAACGGCGTCAACGCCGAGCAAAATTATTGTTGACATTTGAGTTACGTAATTACTTCCGTTAACAAGATTAACCAATGGGAAGCTTTTCCGAAGATTCTTCGGAGAAGAACAAATTAATCATAGGCATTTGGGCAGGCGTTCATTTAACGACGCCTTTTCTTCTCCCGCCCGCACTAAACGCCTGCTACGCAGGCTACATCTATCCCCGTTGATTTGGCACTCCAGATTGTTAAGGAAGAGCTAAACAATACAACGACTTGGACACAACATACTGGATTATCTGCAGATCATATCTATGGCTTGCTAAAATTTGTTTTGAACAACAGTTATTTCATGTATGAAGATTGTTATTATGAGCAAATATTTGGATGTCCCATGGGTTCGCCAGTGAGTGCGGTAATTGCAGAATTAGTTATGCAAAGAATAGAAACAACTGCCCTGCAAACATCTCCCGTTTGGGTGCGATGGTGGAAAAGATATGTAGATGATAGCAACGCCTGTGTAAAACAATCGGACATTTCAATATTTCACAATCATCTAAATACTATCAACCCACATATACAATTTACTCTTGAAATGCCTGTTGTTACAGAGAATCAGCAAACCATAGCGTTCCTGGATACCGAAATTATAACCACGACATCTGGTGATGTTAATGTTAGCGTATATCGAAAAAGTTCTCACACGGACACATATTTGTTATATAATTTACATAGCCATGTGAATGAAAAGAAAGCTGTAGTAAAAACTTTATTAGATCGCGCAAAAACTATCCCAACGAATTCCGTATTGCAAGCCCAAGAGACTGAAAATGTGATTGAAACATTAAAATTAAATGGCTATCAAAAGCGTTTCATTGAGAAAGTTGTTGCGAACAACCATCAGACTAGCACAAATGCTGAGTATGAAATTCGTGGATCGACATGCCTTCCTTATGTTAACGGAGTTTCAGAAAAAGTAAAAAGTATTTTAACCAATGCAGGAGTTCGGGTCGCGTTAAAACCAGTACTAACTTTAGGGAATATTTTTCGCAAGCCCAAAGCAAGACCGTCAGAAGACAGAACAAAAGCTATTGTATACAAATACAAATGCAGAGAATGTCCATTTACATATATCGGTGAATCAAAGAGATGTTGGGCGACAAGGTGGTTAGAACACAAACCGGGAGTTAGAAAGATAATTTTTTCGACAATAAAGGAACACGCTGAATGCACTGGTCACAACGCTGCAAAATCAGACGCTGTAATATTAGAAAAGGGAGTTAAGAACTACGAACAAAGGATTTTCTTAGAGGCTTTACATTCCACTCTTAGTGAAAACACGGCTACAAACCTTAGAAAAGTTATCATATATATATATATATATATATATATATATATATATATATATATATATATATATATATATATATATATATATATATACTCACAACGACCCCACAACGATCCACTACGACCTCACAACGACCCACAACGATCCACAAGGACCCACTACGACCCCACAACGACCCCACAACGACCCACTACGATCCACAACGACCCACAACGACCCCACAACGACCCCACAACGACCCACAACGATCTACAACGACCTACTACGACCCCACAACAACCTACTACGACCCCACAACGACCCACTACGACCCCACAACAACCCACAACGACCCACAACGACCCCACAACGAGCCACGACGACCAAAACACCAGGCACAACAATCCACAAGTTCACAACAATCCAACAACAATCTCTGCATGCGCAAGTGGAAGTCTTGCATTTCCCGCCAATTTTGATCACATGTAATAATAAAATACGTGGTGTATCCACAAACAATAACTTATAATATTATACCTCACAATGAGCTTGTCCAATCAGAGAACTAAATTTGTACCACATGACCATGGTATTTTTCAGCGAATACTATGACCTAGGCAATTTGAACCCTGGGTGTTTTACCCGGGGGCATGGTATTCGACTTCGAATACCACGCTTGAGCGGGAAATTCGACTTTTTTAAATGTAAATTTATCAAAAGTTGTGTTTTGAAATTAAAAGTTAATTGAATGGTATTTGTTTTCTACTTATTTTTGAAAGGTTCGGTATAATATACCATTTATAGACCTTTCACTCGGGGTATTCCACAAAAAATTACCCTGCGGGATGAAATATTCCTCGGGCTTCGCCCTCGGAATATTTCATCCCTCAGGGTATTTTTTTGTGGAATACCCCTCGTTTCAGGTCTATAACTGATAATTGTTTATTGTCATGCAAAATTGCAACTGAAGGTAATTTTGGGATCGTTGTGGGGTCGTTGTTGGGTCGTAGTGGGTCGTTGTGGGTCGTTGTGGGGTCGTTGTGGGTCGTTGTGGGGTCGTAGTTGGTCGTTGTGGCTCGTTGTGGATCGTTGTGGGTCGTTGTGGGTCGTTGTGGCTCGTTCCATGTTTTAGTAACTACGCAATACAGTACTAGTATAAGGGAAGCCTCACATATCGATTTTTTCCACGAGAAACGTCATATGTTCGTTTGGGGGTGGGAGGGTTTGCAGCCGTGACGTTTCTTAGTAAACATCATGGAAAAATTCCGATAGTTTTTTCAAAAGCCTTAACATTTCGGAATCATCTTTACAGAATAAAAAAATTACATTCGTAATACTATACCTGTTCTATGTACGTATACATTTATAATATTACGCCTGGCTTGCATTGAAAACACTCAAATTTCAAGAAAAACGCGCTAAAATTATCAATATTTCATGCAAAAAAAAGTTGGTTTGAAAAACGTTGGGAATTTTGATGACACATTCTTCACGGAAGCATCGCCAATAGCTGACCGTAGAAAATGGTGAAAAATTACCTTTGTGTGCTATAAGAACAAAATATCGATAACTATGTGTGACGTTTCTAAGGGGGGGGGGTCTTCAGAGAAACGAACATATGACGTTTCTCATGGACAAAATCGATATGTGAGGCTTCCCTAAACTATTATGCGAAAATGAACAGTCACAATACTCAATACTCAATAGGCGCGATAATAATCGCTTGTATAGTTAATATTTTGTATTTGCCGAGACACTTTTGTCACAATTGTTTCTGACAATTAATCTATTATCTATATGGCAAAGAAGAAGTTCTGCAGTATAAACTGTACTATGCATACTATAAATACAAATATTATATAAAATTTAAATATTAAATCCCAAAATATTGGATAATCCTGCTATCCTACAGGCTATATCCGTATGAAATTGCACTGCTGGTATACCTATATAACTGATACTAGAGATTTTTTACCTTGTATATTATATCATGCATGTGCATGCAGTGTAGCACGCTTTTCAGCAGCAAATTTTCGTTCTCTGTTTAGATTTTAATATAATTATACGAAAATCTAAAAAAAATATAATTTCAAAATCGAAAGTCCAAAGTCCAAAGTCCATAGTCCAAAGTCCAGTCCAGTGTTTACAATATGCCATATATCTTGCCTTGTACTGGCTGGATTATTATTAAAAATTACTGTCCATGTGTGGATTGTGATCTGTATTTGTGCTGCATTGTCAAAGTTTGGTACTCCCAAGTTACTTAATTATTTTTGAACTTATTTGGATGTTATATATTTGTCCACTGGCACATTCCGACTAATTATTGCGTTGGAATTTATTTTTATCGTCAAGTTCGTTCGCGTATTTCCCGTTTGTGGATCTTTGTTGCTGTAAACTATCGTTATATCTGTACTTACTTCATATTTTGGAGCATTTTGATATGTATTTCGTCTAATTACGTGGATTATTTCTGGAGTTATCCGAGGAGTTATCCGTATTTTGGATTTTATTTACTGTCATTATATATAACACTTTTTACCTGTTATCGGATTTTATATTTTGCTTGTATATTTGGTTATATCAACGTTACGTGGCTGAAACTTGGTGAATTAACAGATTTCCTAGTTATTTACATCTCCAGCGAATTTCACGCTTATATCGTTTATACAATTCAAACTGTTTCAATTTTATTGTTTTTCCAACGGTCATTTTGCGGAGTATTATACATTGTATTGTTCGGGGATTTCCCGTATTACGTCACTCTGCGTCTAAAATGCCACGACCTTTTGACCCTGGAAGTGATATATAAATTGCCGAAACATTAATCTGTAGGTTTTTCCAAAACTAATTTAATATGATTCAATCCTTGTTTGAAATTGGAACAGAATTTGACTTTGTTACTTGAGTTCAGTAACTTACTTTAAATACTTAACTTTCCTACTTATATCAATGTGAAGAAAGTATGGCAGTTGTGAATTAGATAAGTACTCTGTATTTTCTGCTTCTTCTTCTGACACTACGTTTAAAGTTCGATAAAGATAACCGTTTCAATTATGACAACGATATCACTGTTTCACAATGTTATAAAGATAATTTCTTTGCCCAATGTGCTCCACTTCCTAAACCGAATCGGATCAAACGTAACAAGTACTTAGCCGCGCGAATAAGTCGATATCCGAATTCGGTTTCAAAATTTCAACTAACAAGCTTGGTACTCAGCGGGGACATTTCTCCAAATCCTGGTCCTGATGACCACACTAAAACTACCAACGGTTTAAAGGCCTTATATTTGAATGCAAGAAGTCTAAAAGCTTTTGCATCACTTGATGGTGGCTCTACTAAAGTATGTAAGATCACGCTACTGCAACATCTAGTTTTGAGTGGCTCCTATGATATCATATGCATATGCGAGACATGGCTAAATGGCTGTATATTGAACAGCGAAATATTATCTGGCTATAACATCTTTCGCCGAGATAGAATTGACCGTGTTGGAGGTGGCATCTTAGTTGCAATAAAGGCTGATATTAAGGGGCGGACCATTAGAAATCCCGGGAGGGGGGGTGAAAATTCCCCCAAAAAAATTCGTGCAAAGAAAAATGCCTGGAAAAAAAATTCGTGCAGCCATTACGTCAGAGAAAAAAAATTCGTGCAAGCAAACAGCAAAGTATAAGTAGACTTGAAAAAAAATTCGTGCAGAGGTTAAATGCATTAAAAAAAATTCCTGCAGAGACATGAGACTGAAAAAAAAGTTCGTGCCGCAAAATTTTATACCCCTTCTCCCGGGATTTCTAATGGTCCGCCCCTAAATCAACTCGACGTTTAGATCTTGAAAGGAAAAGTGTTGAATTGTTGAACTTAGTAGACCGGACAGTCGATCATTTTTACTTTACACGTTTTACCGTCCTCCCGATTCTTTGCCTGAAGTTCTTCAGCACCTTAACTTATCTTTGCAAAGTATTCAAGAATCTGACTGTTGTGTTGTTGTTGGTGATTTCAATTTGTCCATGCTGGACTGGTCGAATGATCAAGCTGCGCCTGTTAATATCGGGGAAACGCAAGTGGTAATGTGCTTTGTGAATTGGTTGGAGACAATTTTTTACAACAATTCATAGAAGGCAAGACACACGAAGCAGGTAATAAACTAGATTTACTGCTATGTAATTGTCCTGAGACTATTGAGAAAGTAACCACAACACCAGCTGACGAATGCGGTTTTCCATCAGATCATTATATCATAGATTTTATAAACAGACTTAAGTTTGAACGCACTAAGCCTATTAAACGCCAAGTCTTCAATTATTACCAGGCAGATTTCGAAAGCTTGCGCCACTCCTTGTCCCGCATCCCGTTTGAAAATATCATCCTATGATAACATTGATGATCGTTGGTCTTGCTGGAAAACATTATTTATAACTGCAGTGCGTGAACATGTTCCTACCAAATTTATCAAAGATATTAACACTCCGCCTTGGATAGATCAGGAAGTCCGCCATCTAATTAGAAAGAAATACTCGGCCTTAAAAAGATACAGAAAAAATAAATCTGATGCCCTCAAAAAAAAACTTCGGGATATTAGTCAAGCTGTTAAATGTCAAATTAAGAGAAAATATCGTGAATACCTAACCAAGATCGAGAAATCCTTAAATTCTAATCCCAAAACTTTCTGGAGTTATCATAAGGCTATGTTACATCAAAGAACAAACCATATTTCTGCGATCATTTACAACGGTATTACAGCAACTAATCCAATTGAAAAAGCAGAACTACTCAATGCTTATTTTACCTCTGTGTTTTCCAAACCAACTGCGAACACGGATTATGCGAATTTTCTGAATTATCAGGAGTTTTGCTCAGAACTTGCTGAATTCCAATTGACTACGGACGAGGTACTTGCTTATCTGAATTCTTTGGATGCATCTAAAGCATGTGGCCCTGATGGGATACCAGCGCGTTTACTTAAAGAGTGCAGTTTCCAGACAGCACCCAGTTTGTGTGGTTTGTTTAACTATTCGTTACATATAGGACGTCTTCCATCAGAGTGGAAAGCAGCTGACATCACTCCGATACATAAAAAAGAATTAAGAGAACCAGCTGAAAATTATAGACCCATATCTCTTCTTCCAATTATAGCCAAAGTCTTGGAACGTTGTGTGAGTAAAAGGCTATATGATCACGTAATAAATGCTATTTCTCCACAACAACATGGTTTTGTAAGAAATCGTTCGTGCGTAACTCAACTCTTACAAGTGCTTCATTTAATCGGACAAAACCTAGACAAAAATATCCAAACAGACATACTATATTTAGATTTCGCCAAAGCCTTCGACTCCGTCGACCATAATTTGATAATAGAAAAGCTTAAGTTTTTTGGGGTTAAAGGGATGGTTCTCAATTGGTTTCGAGACTATCTTAATAATCGGGCTCAAAGGGTTGTCATGGAAGGGGTATGCTCTGGTTGGACACATGTGACTTCTGGTGTGCCTCAGGGCAGCATACTGGGACCTTTGCTGTTTGTTATTTTCATAAACGATCTTCCGAATGCTGTGCCACAGACTACGAAAGTTGCGCTATATGCTGACGACACCAAATCATTCAGAGAAATAACTTCCGAAGGTGATTCTTGTGACTTACAACAAGCTCTATCTAATTTGTCGACCTGGAGTAGTAGCAACAACATTTCTTTTAACCTTAACTTTTACGAAACAACCTATCCCCTTTATCTATCATCTTGGCCTGTTTCCTATCAATAAATTACAAGAAGAAAAAGATCTCGGTGTACTAATGACCAGTAGCCTATCATGGGATTCCCACATCCAAAGAATATCTGCGAAAGCTAATAGAATGCTCGGGCTACTGAAAAGAACCTGCCCTCTCTTGACTCAAGTGCATGTCAGGAGAACTCTGTATTTGGCCCTTGTCAAATCACAAGTATGCTACGCAAGTGAAGTCTGGTCTCCTCACCAAAGTAACCTGAATATCAAATTAGAGCAAATACAAAGGCGTGCCACTATGAGATGGATCCTGAAAGTAAAGGTGGGAGATGTTCCGTATCGAGACAGGTTATCTGTTCTAAATATGTTACCTTCATGTTATGATCGAGAAATAAGAGACTTGATGTTCTTCTATAAAGCTCTCCATGGATTTTACGACTTAAATGTGGAAGACTTTGTCTCCTTTGTCACTCATGGGCGAACACGTCTCAGTAGTAATTCCACCGTTGTTTTAAAAATACCATATTGTAAAACAACTACATTTCAGGCCTCATTTTTTAATCGAAGTGTAAAGATATGGAACTCTATATGCAAAGTTGCCACATGTAGCAGCTTTACTAGTGTCACCACTTTTAAAACGTTCTTAATCATTATAATGAACTTTTATTGAATGTTTTTTATGCAAATTTGACATGTACTTAGTCAGTTGTTAGAGATTGTGCTTGTCACAGGAGTTAATCACGTTTACGCGTTACGACCGGTCGGGGTACCTCCTTTATGATTGATGCCACCAAATGACGTTTTATCTGGCTTACAAATAATTATTTTAACATAGGTCCTATCACTTTGGCCTGAATGTGTGTAAACGTGCTTTCAACGATTTTAAATTTTTAATTTTATGTAAATTTGTAAACGTCGACAGAAGTCAAACCGGGAGGTAGCCTCGCATGGGCTATTATGGCCCGTTCGCTATTTTCCCATTTAGGAACTGCATGTTTGTTGTATTTGTACCTTATTAATGTAATATATTTAGTTCCTAATAAAGTTGTTAAAAAAAACCCCCAAAAAAACCCTACACAAAAACCTCTCCAATGCAACTGCCAAAAACCAGATGAATTATTATTATTATTATTAAAACTTTATTTAGGCACGGTATTACTCATCAGGATTTACATTATATGGGCTACATTAACTAACTATATTACAAAAACTACGGTGGTTACAAAGTTATCTCTATACCTGCTTTCCATGAGGGCCGTGTATTAAAAATAGCCATTAAAATTTATAAAAGACTTCTACAGCCCGCTCGAAAATTGCCCACTAAGATGGAAAGTGCAAAGTAGACAACATCGTCTATAAAGCCATGGTGACAACAATTGATGACGGAAATACTAAGGAGTATATTGGAATGACGGCCAACCCATTCAAAGAAAGATACGCCAACCACAAACCGTTGTTCAACCTCTACAACCACTCGTCTGATACAAAGCTTTCCAAGTATGTTTGGAGTCTGAAGCGGAGTGGAAGAAATTACAACATCAAGTGGTCTATCCTGAAAAGAGCTGCTGCGTACACGCCTGGTGCATGGAAAGCGATGTGGCCTCTGTTTGGAAGAAAAGTTATGCATCTCGAAAGAGAAAGGGATCAAATCATTGAACACGCGATCAGAGTTTTATGCAAAGTGCTGCCATAGGGGAAAATTTAGCGCGTGCAAATTCAAACCGATGACGAATCAAACATACATTGAATTAAGTTCTTTGAATGTTTGCATGGCGATAAAATATAATTGTTTTTGTTTGTGGAAACACCACGTAAATTTATTACTGCAAAGCTTTCGATCCGTAAGCCCGGATCTTCATCAGTGCTAATAATATGTGACTTGTTTAATTCACACGCTCCTTTTATATACAAGAGTGTCGTGATCTGTTGGCTCGCGTCATTTGAAATTTAATTAAACGGCACATCAACCACGTCATTTCAAACGTATGCGAAAACAAATTGTTTCGAGCACTATGCACACATAAGGACAACGTAAATGAATATCAGAAACCTGGTGTGTACCGCATTCCTTGTGAATGTGGTCTGGTTTACATTGGTGAAACTGGTCGAAATCTCTCAGTACGTCTTAAGGAACACAAGATGAATTGCGAGAAAGCCGAGCAAGATAAATCTGCTGTGGCTAAACATACTTGGACTTACGACCATCGTATAAAATGGGACGAAGCAACCATTTTGGCGATTGATAGTCATAAGTTCTCTCGCAAAATGAGAGAGTCAATTGAAATCGAGAAGCACAATACTATAGATCAGGAGGGAAAGCCATTAGATAGTACATGGCGTGCTCTCTTTAATGTGCAAAATTAATTTCTCTTGTCTTGGATGCGCGCGCGTTAATTGGAATCACTTCACTACGTTTTGAAATGACGTGTTGATGTGCCGTTTAATTAAATTTCAAATGACGCGAGCCAACAGATCACGACACTTTTGTATATAAAAAGAGCGTGTGAATTAAACAAGTCACATATTATTAGCACTGATGAAGATCCGGGCTTACGGATCGAAAGCTTTGCAGTAATAAATTTACGTGGTGTTTCCACAAACAAAAACAATTATACATTGATCGTCTTGAATAAGGCGTGAAACGTGTAGCAATAATTAATTTTAAGATATATATATATATATATATATATATATATATATATATATATGTAACAAACAGAACGGCTACGTTTGAAGAAGTTTATTAAAAAAAAGTTATATTAAATACAAAAACTAAATTTTCG